GGGGGGGGGGGGGGGGGGTTTTTTTTTTGTGTTTTTTTTTGGGGGTTGTTTTGCCGTTGGGGGGGGGGGGGGAAGGTTTTTGTTTGTGCTCTTTGTTTGGGAGTTCCTTCGCTCTTGGGACTGAGAGGGACCAGACATCAATCCAGGTTCTCCACATCTTTCTAAACAAGTCTCTCATATTTCAAACTTGTAAGTAAATAGCCAGGCAAGGCGTCTTAGTTTTATTTTGTTTTCTCAACTTGTAAATGAACCTTTTACTAAAGTGTTTATCTCTGTTTGCTGTACTTTGAACCTGAGACTAGAGGGGAGTCCTCTGAGCTCTTTAAGTTTAATTACCCTGTAAAGTTATTTTCCATACTGATTTTACAGAGATGATTTTTACCTTTTTCTTTAATTAAAAGCCTTCTTTTTAAGAACCTGATTAATTTTTCCTTGTTTTAGATCCAAGGGCGTTGGATCTGTATTCACCAGGAGTTGGTGGGAGGAAGGAGGGGGGATGGTTAATTTCTCCTTGTTTTAAGATCCAAGGGGTTTGGATCTGTATTCACCAGGGAATTGGTGACGGTCTCTCAAGGCTACCCAGGGAAGGGAATTAGCACATTGGGATGGTGGCAGCGGACCAGAACTAAGCTGGTAGTTAAGCTTAGAAGTTTTCATGCAGGCCCCCACATTTGTACCCTAAAGTTCAAAGTGGGGAAGCAGCCTTGACAGCCCCCCTCTGCCCCATGCTCATGGCCAGGCAGGGCTCCCTGGGGCTCTCACTCCCAGCCACATGACCAGCCCCACCCCAGCAGGGACCCGCCTCCCATGGGCAGGGACGTTGGCCCCGTTCCCTCCCACTTACCCTCTCCCTCCCCTCTGCTAAACAGATACACCTCCGGGAAGCCCGTCCTGGGGAGGGTCCAGGCCAGCCTGTGTTGGGAGAAACAACCAACATATCTCTGGTCCCCGTACGGTTTTTATGAGGAGCCAACAACCATGTCTCTGTGCATGGTGCTTACTGGCCAGGTGAGTGTGACTGGGGATGTGGGGGGGGGAGGTACATGACATGCTGCTGGAGGAGGCTCCTCTCCATGTTTTTCTTACACTGGCCAGAGGGGGCGCTGTGATCGTCTGTGATGAGGTTGGTGACATTGGTGTAAAGCTGGTGTAAGTGCAGGCGAATCAGGCCCTGGATCCATCCGGGTCCCCATCTGGCAGGCTGGGGGTGGGGACTGGCAGCTGTGTAGCAGGGCTTAGGGACTTATACGCCCCCCCTTCACCACAATATCTCAATGCCTCACTGATCCTCCTAGCCGCCGGGAGGCGGGGCAGGCTCCTGTCCCCATTGTACAGATGGGGAACTGAGGCACGGAGATGCTCAGGGTCCGTCTGCGCAGCAAAAACCCTGCGGCAGCATCTCCGAGCCCAGCTCTGCTGCCTGGGGCTTGCGCCGTGGGGCTAAAGGAACAGTGTAGACGCTTGGCTGGAGCCTGGGCTCCGAGACCCTCCCCCGATCCCGGGTCTAGCACCTGGACCCGACCGTCGACCTGCTGGTTTTAGCCCCGCAGCACAAGCGGGGTCAGCAGGGCTGGGCTCTGAGACTCACGGCCGCAGGGTGTTTCTGCTGGAGCCGTACTCAGAGGGACTTGCAGGCAGCCTGTGGCAGAGCAGGGACTTGCCCCAAGGTCTATCCAAACCTAGGCTAGTGCCCTAGGTTACGGGGCCGCCCTTCCTCATCAGCAGCTCTCGTTAGGTGGGTCAATGGAAAGATACAGATCTTCCCGTAAGCTCTCAGTCCCTGGGGGGGCTAGGGGGGTGATTGGAATTAGACAGCGTTACCACGACGATGGGGGACAAGCACCAGGAGATCTGTGATGGGCACGAGTGGCCAGGGCCTGTTTTACGTCTCATCCCACCCACAGCAGCTCCAGCTGCACAGCGCCCCCTAGTGCCGCGCTGGGGTACCAGTGTCAGGGCTGACTCCAAGGCGAGAGCGCCCCCTGCTGCTGACTTCAGCACCCAGGTTTTCTTTGAGTGTCTCCTGGCCCAGCACTAACCAGGCCAAGCCCGATTAGAGACCTGCTGAGCTGACACCTGCGGGGCCTGGTGCAGAGCTGCTGCTAACGGGCTGTGATTCTCTCCCTCCAGACTAAGAGAAATGGCTGCTTTTCCAGAGAGGTGGAGATGGCTCGCGTAGTGCCGACTGACTCTGGCTATGGGATGAGCCTCCAGGCCAAGGTGTCTCTCGTGGAGGAGGGGACAGGTGGGACTGAAATCAAGCACACATGCACGCCCCCAGGTGGATCTAAATTTTCTAGTTTCCAGATTCCCCAGGAAAATCCTTCTCCACCCCCAGCCGAACCTCCCAAATTCTCCCCCGAATCACACCCTCCAGTCCATAGCGAGAGGGGGTAGAAATGGCTGGGTGGATTGTTATGGAGAGAAATCTGGGACGTAGCCTGAACTCTGGTGTCACTCCCGGCATCTTCCTCCTATCGTCCCTCCCTCTCTTGCTAGGGGTGGAGCTCAACGCGACCAAGAGCTGCAAGATCGTGTCTAAAATCCCTATAGTAACCTTTGAGGATGATGACGATACCTACAAGGCTGGAATCCCCTACACTGGCAAGGTAACGGGATTACCGGTGTGACAGAGTGGGATATGTCTGTACCAAACTGTAACCACCACTGCTTGCCGGATGTGCTGCACTTCTGGTGCTCATGTGCCCCATGCACTGGAGATCGGATGCGTTAGCTGTGCGCTCCATGTCTTCAAGCCCCCCCTTACCGAGGGCACAATGGGGGTTGAGCAACCAGCCAACCCTCAGTTCCTTCTCACAGCCCCTGGCTGTGGACAGAGCCAGCAGCAGTGTCCGGTCTCCTGCTCCGCTGAAGTTTTTCTCTTTAAGTTTTGTAAATAGTCATTTTGATAGTTAATAATTGGTACTGGAGATAGTGGCTTAGTTACTTTAGCTGAACTCTCCTCTTTTAGGGAGGATTTCAGTTATAGACTCCCTCTCCTCGGAGCAAAGAATGTCGGCCATACGTACGGGGTGGGGGAGTCTAGCCTGGGAAGCAGGGACTCTGGAAAACACTTGGGGGTCATGGTGGATAATCAGCTGAACATGAGCTCCCAGTGCGATGCTGTGGCCAAAAGCGCTAATGCGACTCTGGGATGTATAAACAGGGGACTCTCGAGTCGGATACTCTGTATTTGGCAGGGGTGCAACTGATGCTGGAACCCCGTGTCCAGTTCTGGTGCCCACAATTCAATAAGGATATTGATAAATTGAAGAGGGTTCAGAGAAGAACCCCAAGAATGGTGAAAAGATTAGACAAGATACCTTATAGTGATAGACTCAAAGAGCTCGATCTATTTAGCTTAAGAAAGAGAAGGTTAAAGGGTGACTTGATTACAATTTGTGAATATCGGGGAACAAATATCCAATCTAGCAGAGAAAGGTCGAACACGATCCAACGGCTGGAAGTTGAAGCTAGACAAATTGAAACTGGAAATAAGGTGTAAATTTTAAACACTTTACCGAGGTTCGTGGTGAATTCTCCATCCCTGACAATGTGTAAATGAAGACGGGATGTTCTTCTAAGAGGTCGGCTCTGGGCATTATTTTGGGGCACTGTGCTATGCAGGAGGTCAGACTGGATGATGACAATGGTCCCTTCTACCCTTGGACTCTATGAATCCTGGTGTGGGGGTGGGGCTCTGAGGTGAGCAGTTCCTGTCTTCACCACGTACAATGGGGTTTTGCCCCAGGATTTAAATTATGTCCCTTATGTGGCTCTGCCATGCCCGGAACGACAGACACTCTAAGTGTCTGTATTGTCTGGGTTCACAGACACACATTAGAGAGCAGTGCAGGGACTTCAGAGCCCTCCCCAAATGGGCTGTGAAATCCAGGGAGACTAGACTGAAGGGATTTCTCCTGGAGAAGTCTAGGAGGCCAGGCTCAGTCCCTGAAGAGATGCAGGGTCCTCCTAGGACCGATCACCCTTGGGTAAAAAGTACCCTGGCAGCCATCTCTTCTGCCTCTAAGGCTGTGCCTGCCCCGGTTAGTGACCTCGAGTGTGATGGACACCATCCTGCCAAGGAGCACGGGAGTAGATCTCCTCCTCAGGTGACTGCTACGTCACCTCTTTCTGTGTCACTTGAGAAGGGCAGTCGAGGCCAATCCCTGGTCCCTCTGGCGCCCAGAGAGCAGGAGTCCTGAGTCCTTGGTTCCGCTGCTGGCTCATCCCTTGGTGCCCAGAGAGGGTTTCACTTGGTGGTGGCCTCTCAGCACCACTGCTTGCGGCACAGTCATTGCTGCTGGTGCTGCTGCTGGTGCATTTGGCACCACTGTTTGCCGCACCGACGCATCACGCCCGGAGCTCTCGCCTTCGTTGCACTAGGTGCCGCTCTCCTCAGTGCCTCTGCTACCCGCACCTGTGGCTCGGACGTCCCATTTCCGGCACTCAGCATCCATCGCACAGGTCCTTCCACGCCACTGCTGACAGTGCTGGAGCTCGTTTCGTGTCCCGCATTGACAGGCACAGCACCAGGCGATTGGACCGTTTCTGAACTCCCAGACGCCCTTTGTTGGCTCCTTGAGGAGCAATAGGGGAGATTTTAAAGGCCCCAGTAAGAAAAGCCACGTCTAGCAGTCAGAGTTACTGGCCTAGTGGATGTGGGGAAGCAGTAGACTCGATATATCTTTTTTGTAGTAAGGCTTTTGACATCCTCATAAGCAAACTAGGGAAACGTGGTCTATGTCGGGGTCTCAACCTTTTCCTTTCTGAGCCCCCCCGCCCCAACATGCTGTAAAAACTCCACAGCCCACCTGTGCCACGGCAACTGGTTTTCTGCATATAAAAGCCAGGGCTGGCGTTAAGCGGTAGCAAGCTAGCACTTTGGAGGCAGGATTAGAATTCATAACGACTTTGACAAATTAGAGAATTGGTCTGAAATCAACAAGATGAAATTAATTAAAGCCCAGTGTGAGGAACTACACTTAGGAAGGAAAAATCAGATGAACAACTACAAAATGAGGAAAACCTGGCCAGGCGATAGTGCCGCTGGAAAGGATCTGGGAGTAATAGTCCCCAGTCCTCTGAGTGTCGCCTGTAGTGTCCGGCCCCTTCTCCTCTGGGCACTCACAGAATTACCAGGCCTGCTGCTCCCAAAGGACCAGTGCACAACAGCTTACTAGTTATATCTTAGATCCCAGCTCCCAAGGGAGGCATGCAGGGTGCAGGCACAACCAATGGACACTGGTGGCTAATGCATTCAGATCTCCGGTACATGGGGCATATGCACACCAGAAGTGAAGCACATATAGACACCACATCTCGAAGAATGCTAGTTACTAACAGGTAAGTACCTTCCCATTGTATTATGTGCTGTGCACACGCCTAAATTTACCCAAGGCAGATTATCATATTGTATTCTTGACAGGTGCCCAGCCTAGAAAAGGTGTGTGTCACTTTGTTGAAGGACTGTCACGGAGAAGATCTCAAGATGGCAATCTAACGCCATCGATTCTGATTGTCTCTCAACTACTGGCCCACCCCCACAGAACCATGTTATTTCTACACAAGGGCCCGCAGGTGGGGTGAGCATGTCTGAGGGAGGGGGAAGGAGTTTTCCAGCTGAGCACATAGCAGAAGGGTCCAGAGAGGCTCTACTTAAGAAGGGGCGCTGCTCTGTGCAGCCGTGCCGACCATCACCACATGCCAGAAGGACTGGCTGGAGACAGACAAGGTGGGAGGGATTCTGCCCAGTCGGAACTGTTGACAAACCCCAGAGTCAGAGGCAGGGTGAGATCAGACTAGAGAAGGGTGCTCATCAGGACATTTGTTCTCTGGCAAAAATCTGTAACTCTTGAGCCATCTAAGTGACTGTGGTTTCGAAATTCCTTTGTTAACCCTGGGTTCCTTGCTTCCCTACCACATTGTCCCGACGGGGTTAATCTTAGAGCCCAGTGTGGCCACAGCCCAGATGGGACTCAGAGGGAATGTGTGTAAGCAAAGCAATGGGGCTGGGAGATCTGTGGCCCTGGTTCAGGGCCTGGGGGTGCTGAACTGCAGATCCCACATCCCAAGGGAGGGCTCAGTCAAGGAATCAGACAACCTGTTACCCCTCAGTGCTCACCCCAGCACCCCCAGCTATTCCAATCATGCCCGACTTCTTCCCAGATCTGCTAATGCCCCTCAATCCTCACCCCAACACCCCATCTCAGCCCTGGGCTTTCCCAGTGCATCTCAGGGCTGGATTGCATTGTCCCTTTCTGCTCCCCGCCAGCTCTTTAGCCCCTAGTGGGTAACACTCTTCTAGGAGTCTGTGCGACACAACAGGGAGCGGGGTGGATTTGATCTGGGAATGTTGCAGGGAAGTTACATTGGGGATGGGGGACTTCCCTTGAAGGAAGGTACCTGAGCTGTAAACTGAGCCAGGAGGGGGGTTGGGAGAAGTGACACCTTCTGGCCAGGAGACTGAACAAAGGAGAGGAGGAGCTGGGGCGAGGGGGAAGAGAGCTGCTGGAGGAGTTTTGGTTTTTCAGTCTTGGGCTGGCTGGTGAAACGCAGGAAACCCCAAAGCTGGGGTCTAAGCCCCCTAACTCCCTCCCCCCCACCCCCGAAGGATTTAACTGAGGGGTCCTGGTTATACCTACATGCTCTGCTTGGGACTGTGTTCCTGTCATCTAATAAACCTTCTGTTTTACTGGCTGGCTGATAGTCACGGTGAATTGCAGGAAGAGGGGCGCAGGGCCCTGACTTCCCCCTCGCCGTGACAATCTGCTCCTTTGAATTGTGCGTCTCCCCGTTTCTCTCCCTGCTAAGATGCTCCTGGAGACAGCAGATGGCTCTGCACTGAAGAATGAGAAGCTGCAGCTCTTTGTTAGCTATGGGGATAAGAATAAGAACCAGACCTTCTTGACCGACGAGTCTGGCAGAGCCTCCTTCCAGCTGGACACCTCCGGCTGGACCGGGACGGTCAATCTGAGGGTAAGTGACGGGCCTCCAAGCCCCAGTGGGGCCCCTGCACTCTGCCTCTGTTACTGTGTCTGTGATTGTTGATGTTTATTACGGTGGTGCCTAAGGAGCAGCCAGGATCGGGGCCCCATGGTGCTGGGTGCTGCACACACTCAGCGTAGCAAACACCCCTGCCCAAAGCGCCTGCAGGCTGAATAGCCAGGACAGATGGTGGAGGGGGAGGCGCAGAACCCACCAGCAGAGCCAACAATGGGGTGGCGCAAACGGCATCTTAGTGCCACCACTTCTCTTCTCATTAATATTTGGGGTGGGGTTTAGTTAGGAAGGTCGCCCCCTTCGGGCAGCTCAGCTCAGGGGCTGCCCCATTGCCGCTGTCGGGCTGCCCCATTTGAACCGCTGGGGTTTTCCATGTCACTCTTACGGACGCAGGGCGAGGGGCCATGGGGGTGAGCTCAGCCGGCATCATCGGAGCCTGCCCTGCCCCGGCTGCATTCCTGTCCTGTGCTGAGTGCTCTGCACCCCGGCGAGCCCCATCGCTCTCTCTGTCCCACAGGGGCACTTCAAGCAGGTGAACAACAGCGCTGAGTATGACAGAGTCTATCCCAGTTACCCGGATGCCGATCGTCACCTGACGCCCTTCTACTCCAAGAGCCAGAGTTTCCTGAAGATCCGCTCGCTGGGAGGGGTGCTGCCCTGCGACCAGGCCCAGCAGCTCCAGGTGGATTACGTCATTGCTAAGGAGGCCCTGGGGAACAGGTCCAGGAGCCTGGATTTCATCTTCCTGGTGAGCCTGTCCTGGGAGTCTAAAGCGTGTGTGTGTGTGTGTGTGTGTGTGTGTGTGTGTGTGTGAGAGAGAGAGAGAGAGAGAGAGAGAGAGAGAGAGAGAGAGA